ACAGGTTAAGAGTTTAGCACAGTGCTTGCCTGGTACAAAGTAAGCACTGGAGAAATGTTAGCTGCTATTGCTATTATTATTATTATTATTATTATTATTACATTAAATCTATTCCACAAAATCCAAGCTCCTCAGCCTGGCATGTGAAATCTTTCATGAACTTGGCCCTCGCCGACGACTCTCACTTTGATTCCTAGCCTCAGCCACACAGGACCCGCTTTGAGCTTCTGCAAACACTGTTTCCTTGCCCGGGGTGGCTTCCCGCCCACCGGCCTGGCTGTCTCCTATTCATCTCCTGGGCGAGGCTGACCTCCCCCTCCAGCCCATATGCCCCTCCCCAGGGTTCTTTTAGGACCCAGCCCATAACAGTAACTGTTCATTTACTTGCTTTTTTCTCCCCAACTGCCAAGAATGTGCCTTACTATCTTAGTGCCCCCCAGTGCCCAGCACAGAACCCAAAAAAGTACATATTACATGAATGGAATAATAATCATTTGTTTATGGACAGCGTTTTCATCTGAGCAGTACTTTATAACACTTTAGCGCACAGCAGAATCACTGGCAGAAGGTGTAAAATGCACACTCCCAGGCCTACATCAGGAGAGTCTCGCCCAGCAGTACTGAGCAGGCCCAAGAACCTGCATTTTAATAATTCTCCAGGCAATTCTGAAGTAACTGGTCCTTACTTTAGAAGCTATAATACCAATGGAAGAGAAATGGAACTCAGAGGCAGAGCCATGTGTGGGAACTTGATAAAGGACCCCAAAACTGGCAGGGCCAGGATGACCGTCTGATAGATAAGGCTGGGGAAACCGATGTGCTCTGTGGAGAAAAATGAAATTGAAGAAACCCCACATCTTAACACACACACAAAGATGGACTCCAGATGGACTAAAACATGCTGCGAAAGGCGAAACTATTACTCTAATGAAAGAAAGTATAGGAGAATATCTTTGCGACATACGGGTGGGGAAGGAATTCTTAGATAAAGCCCCCAAAGCATAAAAATAAGGCCAAAAGCTGAATTTCAATACATTGGAATTGCAGATTTCTGTTAAAAGGACATGAGGATAAGGTTAAGGGACAGAGGACAAAATGGGAGAATTGCAGCATCCAAACCCAGGCAAGTATCTGAAATGCGAAAGGGACTCCAGAAGAGCCACGAGAAAAACCGGCAGTCACCGCCGGAAAACTGGGCAAAAGCCGGAACAAGCAATATCCCGATAAAGAAGCCCAGTGGCTAACCTATGAAGAGAGGCTCTTACTTATTTGTAAAGTATAACTGTTATTTTTCATATTGAATATTCGAATAATTTATATTAATCGATGATATTATTTGATATTCTAGAAATTGTAATGATTGACAGTAATAATATAAATTAATGAAATAATTCATAAATAAAGATAAAGTAAGTAATTAAAATAACAAGGTATTGTTTTACGAGACTGGCAAAATTTAGAAAGTGGATGTTTTCCTGGATGAGCCCTCATTAAGCAGCAGCCAGGCCCCATGTGAGAAGCGCTCACAGCTGACCTTGAGCTCCCACGCCCCTCCTCCAACTGTCTGTCTGGCAGAGACATTCCCGAGACCTAGGCGGCATGTGGTGGAACCTCTTGTCTATGTCAGTCCTGGTGACACCATTTCCTGCAGCAGCTACTGCTAGTCCTGGGCCAGCACCCTGGGCCGAGCCTACAGAGAGCAGTGCCTCTGGCCCACAGAGTCTGCCAAGGCTGCGAAGCCCAGAGAAACCCCTTGCCCACAGCCTCTCCCCTCGCTAACTCCAGCCCGTTCAGAGCACTGATGCCTGAGTCACCTCCCTGAAAGCCAGCTGACCACATCGCCTCTGCAGCTGCCACTGCCTGTGGGACAGTATCCAAGCACTTCAGCCTGGCACTCAAGACACTTCAGCGCTGGCCTTGGCCCCTGCCACTTCCTCCACATTCCCCACGCCCCAGTCTCACTGGATTTATCATTATTCCCAGAGCGTGCCAGGCCTGTTCACTACTCCGCTGTCTGCAGAAATGGCTCCCTTTCCCTAGAATACCTTCTGCTCCCTGCAGTCCTTTGCCCTGCGTGTATGGGAGAGTGTTGTTGGAAGCAAACTGTGCTTTGGGGCTGGAATGACTTTGATTCAGTTTCCAACTCTACCACAACTAGGTGCGAGGTCCCTGGGCGTTTCAATTCACCTCTCTGATCCTCGGTTTGCTAAACTATAGAATGGGGATAAGGATTTCTACTGCATGGGGTTGAGGTGCTGAGCTTTATATGATAAAATGCTTAGGACAGTGCTGGCATATAATAAGTGTTCATTAAATGGTAGCTACTATTATTCCGTCCCAGCTCAAACACCCTCTTCCATGCAGAACCAGTTGCTTCCTCACCCCACAGGGCCACCATTCATACCTTACTCATTGCACTGTCCCCAGAGCTTACACAACACCTGGCACCTAGGTGCTTAGTGCTGAGTACTGAGTGAATGATGCATGCAAGTCTCTCACTCTTCGGTTAAGGTAGGTGGGTTTGTCTCCGCTATTCCCCTTCCCCCTACAATCAGGTGAAGGGACCTGGTGGCTTTGGTCTCTGCAGAACATATCCTTAGGGGATTAAATCCTGAGGGGACCCTGGCAATGGGAAGTTTCACAGCTCTCTCAGCCTTTCCGAGGGGCCTGCCCGCTGGGCTGCCCCTCCCAGAACCACAAGGTGAGTCCAAAAACAGCAGCTCCATTCTTCAGGTGAAGGATCCATCCGAGTTATACATCCCAAGGCCCTGCTTGGAAAGTGCTGTGTCATTTTCTCTGTGAATTCTTTTGTAAAAATGTATGTGTTGTAGTATCAATGCCGCATATAAAAGGTTTGTGTTGGTAGCATCTCTACCCAGTGGCCCCATGTAGAGCTTCCCAGGAAAGTTCAAAGCCTTACAGGCATCTCCAAGCTGCCAAGGACCCATGCTCCTCTCGCAAAGGCATGCTTGCTCCCCAGTCTGCCAGGAGTCCCAGATTGTGTCCTCACAGGTCGCTCTTCTTTCCCAAAATGAAAGCAGCTCCTTGTCACTCAGAATTTGGAAACCTGGCTTTTTGTCTTCCTCTTTAGTCATGTCCCTGGACCCTCACACTCAGCTTCAGCCACAGTTCTTTGGAGCCTTTGTGAATGTTGCTGCTTTTCAGATTCATGTCTCCTCTCTGGTCTCAGTGCAGGTCAGCTTCCTCCCAGGTCCAGGTCAGAGCCATGGCCTTGGTTCTCACGGCCCCCTAACTTCCTGCACTCTGCTGCGTGGTGACCGGGTGCCGTGAATGCCTGGATCCTTTTCCACCCCAACACTACCTGTGGGGTCCCGAGCCCGTCTTAGGGGCAAAAAAAACTGCGTGGTCCCTGAGGAGGCCAGCGTGTAGCCAGGGTAGCAGAAGCAGGAGTAGGAGCCCATGCTGTTGACACAGCGCCCTCTTCCCGCACAGGGGTCCCTCAGACACTCATTGTCATCTGAGCAGAGGGAGGTGGGGAGGGAGGTCAGAGAGGCCTTTCTTTGGGCACCTGCCAGCAACCTGCTCGTGCTAAGGGCTGGACCGGGGATGGCGCTGTGTGACAAGGAGGGGATGAGGGAGCAGAAGGGGCCAGAGAGATGAAAAATCTCTTCAAGGCTGGGAGCCATGAAGTCAGCACATTTGGCCCACTCAGGCACCAAGGGCCTGAGGGCAGCTGTCCCACACTTCCTCCCTGCCACACGGCCCCCTCTGCCAGTGGCCCTGTGATCACTTCCTTTCTCCTTCAAGGCACAGTGGACGTTTCTCCTTTGTATAATAATATAGGGTGGGCATAGGCGGGATCAGGCTCACACCTGATGATTTGTCTTGGCTCCAAACCTCTCCCCCAGGGATGGCCCTGGTGGAGACACTTATAATAAGGGCAGGCCTTGGTGTGCTCTGCAGGCAGCAAGATGGCCAGTTTGAGGGGCGGGCTGAGTTCGGAGCTGAGGGCTCCGGGCATTGGTCAGGGACACCTTGGGGTGGCTTTCCACTTTCCTGGAGTCCTGGAGACTCATCGAATGGTGCTCCCAGAGACTGGTCTCCTCAAGGTTAAGGTTAGCTTTGTCTGCAGGGAATGTGCTCTTCTTCAACCCGCAAACCACACAGCACTGCTTAGACCTTCTGCTGCCTGGACTCTTGACTCTGTTCCCCAGCCCTGCTCCCAGCCGCCCCAGACACTGAGCGAGTCCAGGATGCCCAAGCACGTACCTGTGCAGTAGGCTTGGCTGGGGTGCAGCCGGTAGCCGGGGCTGCAGATGCATCTGTACCCATCTGGGAGGTTCACACAGGTTCCAGGGCCACAGATGTTGGTGGCTCCAGTGGCACATCTGTCAATATCTGAGGAGACAGAGCAAAATAGAGGTTATGGCAGGGCAGTGGATAGACAAAGGCAGAGGAACACAGTGGAAACAGTGTGGGACGCTGGGCACAGGGGCCTCCAAGGACCCACAGAAACCTCGTCCCACATCCACGTATATAGCGTGGCCTATGTAATACCTCCCAGGGCCCTGAGCCCCACCAGGATGGAGCTCGCAGTAGGGCATCCCTCTGACCGAGACCCTGTGGGTTCCAGCTACCCATGTCCCAAGTCCTAGCAAACGGCCTGCCCTGCTGAGGCCTCCAGCCTGACCTTACCCTGAACAGGGGCACAGAGCCCTCACCCACAGTGCCCAGAGCTTCCCTCCCCTGGCAACTCCTGCCCAGTTTCCCCTAGACAGACAGACACGTGTGGTGAGTAGGGTGCTTGGGGAGAACTGCCAGGGGAAGAGGGGAGAGGTGGTCTGGGGCTAACAGAGCAGGGCCTTGAATGCCAGGTTGAGATACGCCTGTATGCAAGGGGGTCACGCACGGTGGGGCATGATCAGCGCTCATGTCTCAGAAAGACCACTCATGCTGCCATGCCACCTTGCTCTGAAGAGGGGCCGGGAGGCACAAGAGACCCTTAGAAACCTGCCGAAATAACTTAAATGAGGACCGCCTTGGGTGGTGGTAATGGAGTAGAAAGTGGGGAGACAAGACACTGAATTCAGAAACACTTTGGAGACTCACCAGGACTCAAAACTGAGGCTACATGGTGGGGCAAGGACTCTAGCTTTTTTGAACTGTGTCCTTAATATCTGAGAACCACTTAGCACTTAGTACATGCTGAATGAGCAGATGACTGACTGAATGAATGACACTTTCTGCTTCTGTGCTGGCCCTGGACCCTAGTCAGAAGCCCGCACACCCAGGGTCCCCGCCACGCTGCCCCACAGCACGGAGGTAACCCTGGGGACCCAGGCAATGGGTTGGGACGGGCACCGCGGGGCTTGTGCATAGTGCGGCTTCACAGCATTGCTAAGTTGGACTGAATTGAACATGCACACCGGCCTGTCTCCGCCTGGCTCCAAGTTTGTGTCAGCCTAGGGGCTCATGGGGACCTCCAACCAGATTCTAAATGTCCTCCCGGAGAGGTGAGGCAGGGGAGTTGAGGGGTTAGGCAAAAGGTTGTGGGCGGTGGTTGGGAGGCATTCTGTCCCTCCACATAGCTGAGAGCTGCTGCTGAGCCTGTCCCCCTGTCCCTGCCTCCAGGTCCATTTTTTTTTTTTTTTTTTTGGTCAGAGACCCAGATTCCTGAGCTGAGCCTTTAACCTAGCTCATCTTGCCTGCCGGGCAGGGAGGGGACGAGGGTGTTCCCTGCAGCAGTGCTCTGAGGCCAGAGGAGAGAAGCTCTGGGGGTGGGGGCAGTGGGTTGCCCTGGTTCAGGCCTGGGAACCCCACCCCCCGACCCCCACTCTCTGACTGCTCCAGCAGGCTGCAGCCTCTCTCTTTGCCAGAGGAAATACCCTCTCCCCCAAGGTGGCCTCAGTCTGGGAGGTTAAGAGATCAGCAAGCCCCTGGCGAGGGCACAAGTGAGCAGGCACGTGCACAGGGAGCACCGGTGGTGACATCAAGTCCCCAGACAATGGGCCTCTGAGGAGCTCACATTCCAGAGCAAGGTGGGTTTGCCAGGGATCTCCCCCACACCGCACCCCCTCACCCTTGTTGTGGGAGGGGGTAGGGGAATGCAAGTGGTGTTAGTGGGGCAGGAACGCAGGCTTCCAGGCAGTTAAACAAACTTGAGAACTAGAACCAGTTTCCTTCCCGAAGGTCAGGAGGCTGCCCACTGCCAGGGCACTCAGTAGGCTCAGGCTCAATAGCCTGGAGGAGCCAGGCTCCTGGAAGCTCCACATGTTCCCTTCCCTCAACAGGGTACCCCAGATTCTCCTGGAAGGCCTCTGAGTAAGACCTTCCCTCACATGCCCTTTCTCTTTCCCCTTCCTGGTTAGACAGGTGCTCCAGACCAGGCTCTTGGGTTCGCTAGGGTTCCCTATGCTCTCCATGGTGTGAGGCTGGGGCTCTGAGCCTGGCCTGAGTTTGCTGGAGAAGATTCATCTGGTTGAGAGGTCCTGGAGTTGGCTCTGGCCAGTCACACCTCACGGGGCTGGCTGCAGGTACCTGGGGGACCCGGGGTCACCAGCACATCTATGGGGGTAGTCGCTTGCACTTCTTCCCAGGTCTTTGGAGTCCCCTGTTCAGGCAGTGGAGGTGTTGGTCTTCCTGTGGCATCTCCTGCAGAGAGAGGGGGAGGCCGAGTGGGTGGGCTGTGGCCCCTTGGCTGCCTGACTTCCTGCCCTGGACAGCGTTCCTTCCAGAGATGTTGGCAGTGGCCTCACCTTTCTCCCTGCTGTTCTGACTCGAGAGCCAGGGGTGGAGCCTAGGGCTGGTGGCCCCTTCTGCCTCCTAGCCTCCTAAACTAGACCTGGCCCCAAAAAGAGTCAGAATCTGAGAGCTCTAACGGGTCTTACAGCTCATCCAGTCTCATGCTCCATTTTATAGGCGAGGAGACTGAAGCTCGCAGAAATGGCCACTTGTCCAAGGCCACCTAGCTTGCTGGACACGGAGTCAGAGCCGGATCTCCTAGTTCCCGGTTTAGCATTCTTCCCCTTCTATTTGCAAAGCGCTTCACAGTTTACAGAGCTCTGCCAAGAACATCAACGTCTCCCCGCCTCAGAGGCAGCAGGCCAGGCCTTAGTGTCCATTTCATAGAAGAAGAAGAGGAAGCTCAGCTTTCTGACTCCGGAACACTGCCCTGTCCCCAACCCCAGCAGCTGGCAAGCAGGACTCTGCAGAGCCCTCGCCGTTCCCAAGGGAAGACAGGCCACTGGGCAAAGGGCTCTGGGGACCTGACCAGTCCTTACTTCAGCCAATGCTTCCTTTTTGGTCTCCTTTATACACTGAGCAGCACCGCGAAATGCAGAATGACTGCTGTGGTAGAGAAATATTTGCAAAGCATCACTATGTCTTTCGCTGGCCTAACGAGCCCCTTAGGTGTATAGGGCTCCTGGAAAAGCCCTATACACGCGTCATGTCATCATCCACAACCTCATCTGATTCGAGCCCCATGTATGTATCAACTCAGATGTAGTAACTCAACCACTAGATGCAGCTCTCTCCTTCCCTCCCTTTTCTGTTTCCTGGGAGCTGCGAGGAGGAGGAACTTACCTGGGACCCAGGTAGGTTCTTGAGTGACAATAGCTGTGACCTGCACGGAAATGGGAGAATGTCACTCTTGGTTGCTCTGTCACCCCCTTGACTCTCTCCCTTCCACCACGCTCGCCCCTGCCCCCAGGCTTCCCATCCAGCTCACTCACTTTTTCATTCATTCCTGGTGTTGATGAGTTCTTACTACATGCTGGGCATTTTGCTAGGCACTTTATGCTCATTGTCTTAATCTTCTCAACTATCCTATGATAGTAGGTTGCAACGACTAAATGAGCGGATGTACGTAATGTGCCGGCTCGGTGTCATATCAGCAAGCATCGTATCAATGCTGTGATCTCAGATACAGCAACAGAAGCTCCGGAGGTTAACTAGCCTACCTAGGGTCACAGGGCCAGTGTGGTAGAGCTGGGACCCCAGGCCACACGTGGTATCCCTCACCACAGACCACGGACAGAGGTAGGTGAGCCATGGGGAACCTGGAGGAGAAGATGGGCAGAAGGTGACAGAGGACCAGGAGCATGGCTCGGGGCTGTGGAGACATGGAAGTGGAACTTCGGTCTGCGGGGACATCACGTGGCTCTCCAGGGAGAGAAGAAGCTCATTGGAGAAACAGTGTTTGGGGACAGTCAGGTAGACAGGTTGGAGGGGCAAGAGACAGGGAAGGGATGAGCAGACTGGTGAGGGAAAAAGCAGATACGCTCTTCTGGAATGTTTTTCTAGGTCACTCAGTGTTTCACAGGGGACTCCTGGGCACAGGGAAGGGGTGGGATCCACCTTTCTCAGTGAAATAGTTTGAGGCTATGCCTCAACTTCCCCATGAGCCACTCTCAGAGGAGACCTTGAGATTTAAGCAAATCAAGCTCAGAAAGTGCCAAATCTGGAATTAATCCAGAACTAGTTCTAGATCTCATCCGCAGTGACACCCAGCAGTAATAAGACAGCGAAGCCCTCCCACTTCAGCATCTCTCCAAGTAAAATCCTACATATACTCCACCCTTCTCCCGTCCCTCCCTCATAGGACATTGCCTCATGGCCTCAAGGGCTACCAGGTCCCACTTTCTACCACGCTTGCCCAACTCCCTGGTGGGAGGACTCACTCACCTGGCCAGCTTGAGAGTCACCTGGGAAGGGAAGGTGAGAGCATGAGCTCAGGGAGGACAGTCTGGCTGCCTTCTCCCCTCCACCCACAGCCAGGGTTGGTTCAGTCTGTGACCCCCTAACCTTATCCCCAGCAGGTCAGCAGTGCAGAGAACTCAAACTCTTCTTGCCTGCTTCTGTCCCTCCCTCTCCACTGGGGCTGGCCACCATAGATTTCAAAATCCCAGGTCTGGAGGGCCTTCGAGCTGACTCACTTGGTGAGAGGAAATCTCCTGCTTTCCTTTAAGGTCTCCAGTGCCAGGCCAGTCTCCCATGGGTCCTCTCTGTGACTCTCCCCCTTGCACTGCCACCTCCTCCCTCCCAAGCCTCCAGCTATACCAGGTCCCTCTGCTTCTCACCCTGGGTTATGGGCCAGGGGAATAGTTCTAGAAAAGAGAGGAGTTGCTCCTGATTTCCCCAGTGCTCAGTTCCCATGACAACTAGGGTTGTCCTGACATCTCTGTTTGTTCCAGATATCTGGAGGACTTTTGGCTATCACATGGTTCTCCTGGTCCTAATATGTCCTTGGCTTCCTGTACTCTGTGCTACCAGCAACTTAGACATGCCTTCTGCAAGGTTACCCAGGGCACCTGCCAGGGGCGCCTCAAGCCCAGTCTCTTCCCAGCCCCAGGCTTCTTGGGCCTAAGGCAGTTGAGCTGGAGTTAGTGATCCCCTTAGTCACTCCAAGGCCAGGGGAGGGGATCTAAAACACCCAGACTCCCCAGTATCCACCTGCCAGCTCTTAAGGCCTTGCAGCGAGCACCAGCCTCAGAAGCTGCATGGCCAGGGGCAGAGGACGGAAAGGCCTGATCAGCGGAGGTAGGGCTGCTGCTGACCTCTCCCACCCCCACCAGCAACTCTGTGGGATGTGGGCACCTCTTGATCACATGTGGGAGAAAGGAAGGGAGTGAGGCCTTTCAATCACGACAGGCCAGGAGAGCAGCTTCCCAGGGCTGGGTGCTGCTACTCTAAACTCCCTGTCCTAAAGCCTCAGAGATGAGATGCCATGCATCCAGGATAAACATGCACCCAGTGGCTCTTTGAGGGGTTGTAACCCAAGGGGGAAGGGGAATCCCTCAGGCATCTCCCCCAGCCCAGATACCCTTGTCAGGGATGGTCCCGGCCTCCAGCCAGGTGCCGGTGGCCGCCCGGAGCGGTTGCCTCTCCGCTGGCCTGGGCAGGGTCCAATTGCTCTTCTGTTCTTGCTCCCTCAAGGGCCTGGCCAGTTCCTCCTCCTCGGCTTTCCTCACGGTCAGGCGGATGTCTGAGCTTGAGTAGGTGTAGCCATGGCCGGCAGGGCAGATCTCCCTGAAGGCCTCTGCAAGGTCAGTGGTCAAAGGACGTGCTGAAAGATGCCGTTCCTGCAGGGACCCAGCCCCCTCCCTCCCCTCCCTTGGGGGGACAAGGTTACTGTGGCAGCAAGGAGGGAGGGACCCCAGATTGGTTAAGGAGTCGAGCAGGAAGGAAGACTAGGGTCTTCTGGCTTGAGGTTAGGTCCAGGAGGGGGAAATGGCCACTGGCTTGGAGGAAGCCCTTTGGTGGCCAGAGCTGAGAGGGTACAGAGCATTACCTGTGCCAGGCAGGGGGCATTTCTCACACTTGCTGCCCCATGCTTTGCCCACTCGGCTACAGCAGCATATCTGCTTGGTGATCCTCTGGGCCAAAGGCAGGGCACAGGTGCCAGGCCCCAGTGACCGGTAGCACAGCCCTTGCTGCATGGAAACAGCCTTGTCCGCTGCAACAGACACAGCAGATGGGGATGGGCAGGTAGCCAGTGGGAGGGGAAAGGACAGGCAGGAGGGCAGAAGATAGAGGAGTGGCCGGTTGCATGTACTCAGATTGGCCTGGCCCAAGTCTCATTCCTAAAGTTTGGGGCCCTGAAAATACTCACAAAAACGTTAGGACAGATAGTTGTAGTAGAAGGTTTTAGCACGTCCTCCTACTACCTATTTGAGGGGACCGTTGCCTCTCACCCACGTGGAGAACCTGAGAGCAGGAAATGGGGATGTATCTGCTTGCCTCCAGGTGCTGAGTTTATGAGTGTTTACCAAAGCCCAACATGGGCTTGGGGTCAAGTGGGGAGCAGTGTGCTCTGAGGGCCACAGTCTTCTTCAGGAAATGAGACAAGGTGAGAACCAAAGGCCTGACAGGAAGCTTTGAGGACAGGGACACTTTCTTGGTCATCTTCGTTACCCAGATATACTACACAGCATCTGGTGCGGGCAGATGCTCAGTAAATCCTGGTTGAATGGATGGATGGATGGATGGATGGCTGGGTCCACGACTCAAACTTCGGTGGACCACAGTGAGTGCCACCACCACTGTTCCCTTGCTTATAAATATTACAGTCTATTCTCTTGTAAATTATCTCAACAGAAGATGAAGAGGCCATGCCTCGTTGGAAGAGACTGAAATCCTAAGAGGGCCAGACGAAGGGACGGGGGGTGGAGTGAAGGGGGCAACACTTATAGTTGAGGAATTGATGACTCTGGGGAGTCCTGGTCAGGATTTAGCAGCCCAAGTTCAAATCCCTGCTCCACCATGAGCTATAAACCTCCCTGGACTTTACCTTCTTTATGTGTGAAATAAGGGTGATAATGACGATTCCATGGGTGGCGGATGCCTGTATTTCTGACTGCCCAGCATCTATGCCCCCATATTCTGGTAACGGCACCCTGATTTTTCTATAGGATCCACCCCTTACCCCAGTCTTGGTCCATGTGATTAGAATGGAGGCTGACCCCACTTCCTGGCTGAAGGAGTGTGGCCCTTATGCCTAGTTATAGTAATTGGGTCAGGGATGAGCACTTGTCAAATAAGTCCAATGATAATAATCGGTGGGACTTTTCCTGGATTATTAGATAAGAGGTGCTTTTAATTTTCCTCTTTTTTAAATTGAGTTTGCAAGGTTGGGAGATATAGGCCTGGAGCATTTGGTGGCCACCTTAGAAGAAACTCTGAAATCGACACAGAGGAAACAGAGTAAGAGATGTCCTAAAGATGCTAGGGGTGCCTGGATCCTGCCAAGCCTGAGGCACACCTACCCCTGGACTTCCTAACTGTGTGACCAATGAATTATATGCTTATGGTGGTTCGAGTTGGGGTTCTGTCACTTGCAACCCAAAGACTCTTGACTAATAAACCTTCTTCACAGTGATATATGAAAATGTGCCTTGCGAGAGGTTACGTGCTATACACAGGGCAGTTATTGGTCAGTCCATGAGCCTGGGTGTCCAGGTGCAATTTCCGCCTCCAGCTGCCGCAGGGTAGGAGTGACTCAGCTGGGCATATCAGGAGGCTGCCAGCTGGGCGGGGTCGTTGTAGACTGCTCTACTAGCCCTGGTCAGGTGACAGGAGGAGGGCAAAGCTCAGAAATGAAGGGAGAGGAACTTCATGTCTGCCCTCTTACCTCCAGGGAGATGAAGCGTCAGAAGAGGCTGGAGTGGGTAACATTAGGAAGGGAGAGAAAATAAAGACCGCCCAAGGGCCACCTTTGCTTCCCTGTATTCTGGGTCTCTTTCTGGCACTAATAAAGATGTCACCTCAGACATTAAACACACCTGCCTGATAAAGGAATCTTAAGTGGGGGGAGGATGATGGGGAGAAGAAAGGGCTGTATGCTCCTCAAGGCCTTGATTACATGTCTCTGTCACCACAAGGTCTTCCCGAGAGTAGGCTGACAAGTTCTCCTTACTCTGGGTCCCCTCATTCTCTGGGTGTCCCCTCTCAAGTCTCTTACTGTCTCCTCTCCCTGGAGACACTCACTGGGCGGAGTCCTCCCTTCACAAGGGGTGCTCCCTGTGGGTGGTGCTGGAGTCAAGTTCATCCCACGGTCTCCTCAGACAGTTTGCATACTGAGGGCTTCGCCAGCCAGCTATAGGGAGCAGAGCCAGGGCTTGGGGTGGGGTGGCCCACCCAACCCAGGCAGTCGTTTTGCCGAGGCCAGTCAGGACTGGTTTTATTCAGCTCTGGTCAGGCCTCCTTGTCCTAGGAAAGCCCCGTCTGGGCCCTGGCGTCAGCTCTGACATGGGGCGGGGGCCTGGGGGCTGCCAGCCTGGGCCTCTGCCAGCTGGAAACCACAGAGGTCACTGGAAACAGCTGTCTGGGCATGCATGCACGCACACGCGGACACGAGGCTGGTATGACTCATGACACATATGTGTTCATGGACGCAGAGACACATTCAAAACTACAAGGGACCCCAGGATTATGGAAAGGCCTTGGGGCCGGGCAGCAGTGCCATTCATGCTCAAGACAGGTCCCCTCAGAAAGGTCTGCAGCTAAGTGACCGGGCTGCTAAGCTCAGGCACTGGAAGAGGCAGCCACTGCTCAGCCGGACATTAGAGCTGAGGCACCACACATCCCCCCAAAGTAAATGAAGCAACAGGTGGAACAGAAATGATTAGAGAGAGGAAAAAAAAAAAAGAAATAGTAGAAAACCTCAAATTGCAAAGCCCCCAAAGAAACGCCTAAAGCCAGAAGTGAAGTAGTAACTGCCTCCATCCCAGCAGCAGAGAACAGATCTGTTTTGCGCATTGGGCCCAGTTCCAGGTTGAGTCATGGACACTGGGCCCTGGGATAGGGCCTGGGGGAAGTTTCTGCTCTGGGCCTGGCCCGTGGACCCTGAGGGTCCCATCTTGCCTCCCAGGGTCCGCCACCCCCGGTCCCCGCCAGCACTCACACACACAGCGGCTCCTTGACGGGTCCAGCATGAGGCCAGGCCTGCAGGTGCACAGGTAGCTGCCCCGAGTGTTCACGCACTCCGAGTCCTTGCACAGGCCCAGGGTCAAGCACTCGTTGACATCTGCAGGGTTGGAGAAGATGGCCATGTGCCCGCCCCACCGAGGCCTGATGGAGGGGAAGGGCTGGGGCAGAGATCTTCCAATAATTTCTCCCAGTTAAAGGACAACAATAAGGGAGCTGCCATTTATTCTATGTGACCCCTCTCTCTGCGCCTCAGTTTCCTCATCTGTAAAATGGGGATAATAATAGTAACTACCAGTTAGTCTTGGATAGGTGGATCAAATGAGGTAAAAATTTCAAATCACTTCGTCTTATAACTGGTAATAACGATCGTAATATTAAGAGCTAATGTTTATTGAGTGCCTATGACGTGTCAGGTACCATGCCAGGCACTTTACATATGATACCTCATTTAATTCTCCCAAACAATTTTATTAAATAGGTCCACAAGTCCTCGTTTTATAGGTAGGGAAACTGAGGCCTCAAGAGTGACATGCCCAAAGTCACTCAGCTAGTAAGTGATATGCTGGGATACGAACAGGGGAAGCAGATAAGGAGACAATTGGGGTGGGAAGTTGGAGAAAGGGCCACCCAGTCCCTCCTAGTCAGCTTTCCTGAGAGACTTTAGAGCATCTCTGTAGGACCCAAGGTCTGGGGAACAGTGAGCTGCAGAATGGAGGGACCTCAACAAGGAAGAGGAGGCAGGCACTGGGGTGCAGAGAGTCAGGAGGGCACCTCTCCAGGTCCTTCAAGCACCCCCTGCTTCAGGCAAGCCACGCACATCCCCCAAGACCAGTGGATGTTCATGCCGTTCTCCAAGTAAGGGAGCTACATTAGCTCCTTTGTGATTTCAAAAATGTTTCATGCCAGGAACTTCTTCCTGCCAAGAGGAGGAAGCTCTCACACTCTAAGCACCAAAAAGTCAGGGCCCCTCTTGGTGATGATGTCTTCATTGACGATTGTGGTGGCAGCGATGATGGTGAGCATAAAAGGGTTGTGAGGGGCATCCACCTCCAGGGCCAGGCGATAACGCGTGGCAGCCTGGTAGCATCAGAGCCACCTGCTCAGCCACGGGCTTTGGAGAAGATGGCTCTCAGCACAGGAATGAAGGGGCTGAAAGGTGACCAACTCCTCCTTGGCAGGACGCCCTACTGGGAGGGAGAGCTAGGAAGGGAAACTGATCCATTTGCCTCCAGATTGCGGCCGAAGTAATATGTCTAAACACAAATCTAACTTGCCTCCTCTCTGCTTGAGAAGCCTCCAGACTCCCTATCACCTCCCAGAGGGAGCCCCGGCACCATTTTATGGTATCCGAGGCCCTCCACCATATTTCTCCAATGCCTGTGGTTAACTGGATGGCTTGGATGAGACCCCAAGATGCCTGTGTTCTCTCCCGTGTGTGTACAGGCTATACCCAGCCAGCTCAAACTACTCCTTTGCTTATGCTGTTCCCTGTGCCTGGAATGCCCGCATCCCCTTTAGCTGGCTAACTCTACACATCATTTAAGTCTAGGTCAGGTATCACCTGAAGCCTGATCCTCTAGTCTAGGAAGGACCCCTGTCATGTATCCCATAGCACCTAGTACATCGAGAGCACTTCTCTCATTGTGTGTAATTGTTTGGGTGTCTGTCTTCACCTGGGGCAGCAGCTGTGTCTTAGCCATCCCTGCGTACTAACACCTAGCACGATGAATGCAGCTCACAGCAACACCCCAAAATTATCCCATGGAAGCAGGAGAGAAGGATGGAGAGAGAGGAGGGATGGGGCATGCAGGTACAGAGTTGAGTGGGTCCCTTTACAGGCATGGAGGCCACAGTCACAGGTGTAGGAAGGGGGAGGTTCCCTCGGCATCTCCTATCCTGGGGGCTCAGTGGAGGGTGAGCAGAGAGCTCATCTGAGAGTTTGAGAATAAGTTTAACCTTCTGGGCTGGGAAACACATCAGGAGGAGAGGCCGCTGGGGATAGTTTAGATATGAACACCCTCCAAGGGCAAAACTACAGACATCTCTCCGCATCCACTGTCCACTAGGCCCTCAGCCCACTGCTCTTGATGGAGGCTGACCCGGGCTCGGTGGGGTCAGAGGCCTACCCTTTTTCCTGGTCCACCTTTACTTATCCATGGGCCAGAAATCCCCTCCAGGGCCTGGCACCCCACAGCCACACCGGAGCTCCTCAGACTCCTCTCTCCTGAAGAAGCCTCCAGGGAGAAGGTACCTAGGAGGCCATCTGGGTCAATCCCTTATCTCTAACCCAGCTTCACCCAAAGTAAGCCACACAGACAGTGATCTGTCCAGCTCTCTAAGCTCTCCAGAGGGAAAGCTGCCTCAGGTCCCCACTGACCTGTCAGCCCCAGGAGCTGCCCACAGGCTGGAAGGCCCTGATCTCCAGTCCACGGCCAACAGTGGCTCTCCTCTCAGTGCCTGAGCTGCTTGGTGGCAGCCGCTGCCCCCTCAGTGAAGGCTTCAGTCATCCTGGTCCCCAACACTCTCTCTAGAATTCCTTGTAGTGACAAAGCCATAGCTGAGCTCTACTTCCCAGCCCTCTGTCCCGAGGTGCCTCTGGGCCTTGTCCCTTTAAGGGCTCTCTAATGCAGAGCACCCTGGACCTCAGCTGGCCTAACAGAGCCGGTCAGCCAGGCCAGCCAGGCCAGGGTCTGTGCTATATATAGTCCCTCTCTCCTCCACCTGTGCCTTCCCCCTTCCCCCTCCTGGTTGTGGGTTGAGGCAGGGGGAGGCCTGAGCAGCTGAAAGTACTTCGTTGGGGACAGACAGTCCACAGAGGTCCCCACTAATTCAGGCTGACTTGATCTCTGACCCTGGAGTCAAAAGTCCTCCCATTCCAGGGAGATCAGCCCAAGAGGTGAGTGGATGTGTGGGGTCTGGGTGACATCATCAGACACAATACCACACAGCCCTAGAGAGGTGCTTGGCCCAGGCCCAGGATAGGGTGGGTGGAGATGGGGCCAAGGGGCTGGGCTCAGCTCCCAGGTCCTTTCTCAGCTCCCTCTATCACTATCTCCTGACTTCCTTGGGCCAGTAGAACCAGCAACTCCCACAGCTCCCTCAAGACGGGGCTTAGAGGTGCCTAGCGGAGACCACTCAGGCAGTGGCAGCTGCTCCTCCTGTCTGCATCAGCAGGTCTCGGTCATTCCCTTTCCCAAGCCCAGCCTTGGCCCTAGTCATCCTTACCTTGACAGTGAGTGAGGTTCAGCCTTTTGTAGCCCTGGGGACACTCCAGCTGGCCATTTTCAATCACTGGAGAAGCTGAGGAGTGAAGACACAGATAGGTCTCAATGAGGGCCCTTGGGCTCCTCTGTCACCCATGCTGGGAAGTAGGGTGCAGGTTGGATGTCCAGCCCTCTCTGCAGCTGTGAGGCCCCATCTCCCCAAGCTATCACCCTGGGCAGCTGTGCCTCCTTGGCTGACATCCCTTCCCTGGCTCCTACCAGGCTACTCTCATCCCACCTTGCTCTCAAAAATACTAAGTAACTATATATCTTATAAATAGTTATGATATTATATACAGTATATATTATACTACATCAATATAATACAATATAACACGATTGGACATGTTTTGTTATTACTTTTTTTTTTTTACGTTTTGTTTTGAAGCAATTATAGATTTGAGGGAAGTTGCAAAAAATAGTGCAGAGAGGGCCCAAGTGTCCATTACTCAGTTTCTCCTAATGGTTACATCTTATATAACTATAGTTGTTTTATTCTTCTTTAAATATCTAAATACAACAATTCACGCCCTGGCTAAATTTGGTTTATTATGATATTTGGTTTCAATGCTGTGGTAGCTGACAAAGTATCCTAGCTCAAGATGGAAGAACTTCATCAGTGATTGTACTTAGAAAACCATGACATTCATTTTTCACTCACATTTACCAACCATGTGATGCTGCTGTTGAAATCTGGCTAGTAAATTTCCATCTTCTCCACAGGTCAGTTTTTTGTTCTTACAAATTTTAAATAATTTTCAAATATTTCAAGTGTGCAAATGGAGATGGTTTATAGCATCCCATGATGAGAAACTAGTTCTCAGTGTTTTGGTGCTGATACACATTCTGCCTTAATTTCACACCATTCCCCTTTCTTTACAAGGAAAAAAAAAATCTATTTATGTTAAATAAAAACAGGGAAAACTCTCCATTACTTTGGAGGGACAGAGTAGTATGTCAACGTTCTCGAAAAACTCTAGCAGATACCCTAGTACTGACAGCCACCTGTCATCACAGAAAAAGACAGTAAATGTGGAACACCCATCTTTCTGTTTTTTTTTTTTTAAAGATTTACTCATCCTTAAGCAATTCTCAAGTAGTATACGTGATTTTCATAGACATTATTCCAACACAAAGTTTTATAAAGAAACCCTTATACTTTTAAAGGTCTTGTTTTACAAAGTTAACTGCGTGATGAATTTCTCTTCCTCCGGCTTTGACTTCATTGTGACAATAGCTTGCCTATGAAGACTGTGGTGAGGGAATTTTACATCTGGTGCTCTACATTGCCATTACCTTATCAGTCATAGATAGCATCAGCGGCTATACTTCCAGAGTTGTTTGGTACAGCTTATTTTTATTCAAGAAATTATTTACTATTGATACTATATGTCCTCTCGTTCATCCTTTCATTAGTGGCTTATAAAAAGATAGTTCTTCACATATTTTATTGTTAAAATAGATCCTTGAAAAAAACAAGAGGCATGTTAGAAATAGCTATACTTTCACCCAATTGTACAGACAACTTTGAGTGTCTCTGTTTTTTAATGTTTTTCTAATCAAGACACCTCTGAGTCCATCATTAGCTGCTACCTCTGGGGAAGTTTGTTAGTAACGGCAGCAGATAAAACTGTATTTCATATAGCTTTCTTGAGCATTTGGATCCTGGGCTCCATTTTGGGTCACATCTGAGAGGTCATTATTATTTTTACCTTGGAATATAGATGACTTCATATAAGAGGAGAAAGGTCAGCTTTGCATTTTTTAATGATTACTTGCAATTATGTTATTAGCATTATTTTGAATCCTGTTTCTTTGCAAAGATTTTTTTAAGAGTCACTTTGCTACTTAGTGAGGGTTGCTTTAGTTAAAACTAGACAACATAATTGAAAAATCCCATAAACTGAGCACTGTTGTATGTTGTGCGTTGTGAGGCCAGACAAACATAAGAGGCACTACCTTTTCTCAGAACTCCACTCTTCCCTGAGGATGCTTTGTGTGCCAAACATGACAGGTGACAGACTGACATGCAGGGTAAGTGAAGACATAAATAAGTCTACTCTTTTAAAAATTAAAGCTTTTTTTTTTTAAGTTTAAAAAGATGTAAATATAAGTTGTAATATTTGTCCCTGCCATGGACAGTCTTGCTCAGGGTCTGCACGTTGCTCCACCTAAGAGGCCACTGTGTGGGTGTAAATGTGGATTCTGAAAATGCTGACACTGAGACAGATGGAAGGATGGGAGAGAGGCTGGGAAGAGGGAGCACGTCCCCCAGCAACTGAACTGTGTGATTCACAGTGAGGGTGGATGGCAGGTGTCACCGCCCCTGCCACTCACACCAGGCAAGCCTCTCAAGTGCTCTCAACACCTGCAGGCTTTCCCTTGTCATAGCACTAATATGTTGCTCTGTGACAGCCTGTTTGCTCGTCCATCTCTTCCAATAAAGTGTAAGCTCCATGAGAATAGGAACCTTGTCTTCTTCATCACTGCTATGTCTCTAGAGCCAAGCGCAGCACATGGAACAGCATAGGCACTCAATCAAATGGAATAAATAATAATGCAAACACTAAAATGACGCTCACTATGGGCCAGGCCCTGTTGGAGGTACTTACTAATATTCTCCCCATTTTACCGATGAGCAAACCGAAGCACGGAGGGGTCACCCAGCAGGTGGATGGAGCTGGTATTATGATCCCAGGCACCTGCCTCCAGAGGATAAATTCTGAACCATTCCTCTCTACTGCCTCCAAATAAATAAATTATTGGATTCATGAAAAACTTAAGAATTCTCTAGGCAGAGAATCCTAGGGTCTGGAGGCCCCAGGGAAGTGCCTGCCCAGCAGGAAGTATATCACTCTTCCTGGGAACCCTCCCAGAAAGGGATCCGGAGATTGAATGAGGAATAACGAAAAAGACAAGGATATCCAGGAGGAGGTCAGAACTATTTGGATGCTGGGTATTTGGATCCTTGTGGCGGGAGCTCGGTACTTCTGGGAACAGCCATTATATTGCTGTGTTCCGGTTTTTAATAGCTGTTCCTTACACTCAGTTTCGCGTTGAGCTCTGCTTACCAGAAACATCCATACATTGGCCTTTGCCCTCCTGAACTGCGTGGAACAAGCCTAGCCACTTCTCCCTGAGACAGTTCTTTCAACACATCTCCGTTAACTCTTAGGTCTGGGCTGAAGGTGTCCTGCCTATCCATTCAACTCCAATTTTCTTGAGGGCTGTTGTCCTTTATGCACACGTAACTCATAAAACACAGCCTCCTGTCTGTGAAATTCTAGTCTAGGGTCCTGATTTTTGCTGTCTTCAAGCAAGCACAGGCCTCCCCAGAAGAATTAGGGAGATCTAGTTAGCTTAGAATCAGACACACTGTGGCGTTTGAACCCTCGCTCCACTTGTCCTAACTGCGTGACCTTGAACAAGTTCCACAGTCTTCTCAGAACTTCATTTTCTTCATCTATCGAATGGGAATAAAAAGCCTTAGCTTGCAGGTGGTTGTAACAATTAAATGATGAGTGACAAGCCTAGTGTAGCATAAAAGTTCAGTAACTGGCCACTACTATTGTTTTTAAAAGGGAAAGCTGCAGAATTCTTTGAAGAGTCAGCTCTCCCTGGAGATTCAGGGAGGGGCCTGGGTTCTGAGATGAATTCATCCTATGCCAGGCAGATGGAAAGACGATCTCACAGCAAACAGCTGGAGCTCACCACTGCGGGCCTCGAGCTGTGTGCCAGCCCTGTCTGCCCCAGCAAAGGGGCTTTGGGGTTGACACAACCAGTGCCTAGCCAGATGGGGCAGTGGCCAACTTTCCAGTCAACCCAGATGTCTGTCTTTCTCAGACAAAAACTCAAAAAATGTGGCTTTAATCAAAGTGGTTTTGAGAGCCAGGTGCTCTCCAGACCCTGGCAGGGGGACTTCAGAAACTCTGAGCAGGGACCTTTGATAAATCCCAAAGGAGCAGAAAGGTCAGCTGCATCTGTCACACAGAGAAAAGAAAGGCTAGCCTAGATTGACTGAGCTATCTCCCTGAGAAAGAAGGCACTAGGGAATTTTTCTGGAAGAAAAGGGATTTTGTGTCATGTAAATTGAGACTTCAAGACAAGTCCTTTTCCATGTCAGAAATAGCAGCAATCTACAGGGACCTTCTTTGACAGTCAGCATGGAGCCTCAGAAGCCAAAGGTGACTTAGGGGAAGCCATGAAGTCACATTGTTTCTCGGCTGCTGGCTGTATTACTTCTCTCATCCCCAATTCTGCTAGACTACCTCGTTGGGCATAGAGAACAAAGCCTCTTCTGAGGGACAAGGCTTTATTTTATTAGAGGAGAAATAGAAGCTCAGTGGAGCAAACGCCCCAGGGCTGAAATGTTCTAGAACCTAGAAGTCCTGCCTGTCTTGCCCACCATCCCAAATCCCACCGCAGGATCTGGCCTTTTTTCCTTCCTCTGACTCTTGCACAGTAGCTTGCTTGTCATGCCTACTTAAAGAAACATCCCCCGCCTGGGCCCAGGCTTGGGCGTGGAGCTAGGTGTCTGGCACCCTGTCAACACAAATGAAGCTCCCAGCTTGTGCCCTTTCTCTATACAATGTCCAGCTGCACTTTAATGTGTTTTAAATGTTTATGTTGCCCTGGTCTTTGTTATCATGCTCTTTGGTGTGATGGAATGCTTGACATTCCAGGGTCTGCACCAATGTGCCTAGCTTGCTGAGATGTGCTGCACTCCGTGGGGAAGAGGGCCCAGCCTGGGGTGTGCTTGCTTTGGGAAGAGGGCTCAGCTTGGGGTGTGCTTGCTTTGGGAAATGTTGCTCACTCTTTTGGTCTCACCTGCATATGCAATTTCTTTGGCTTGTTAAGCTCTTCCCCATCTCTTTGACTGGCTAACCTAACAATTCTTCAGATCTCATCCTGGATGATACCTCCTCCAAGAAGCTTTCCCTGACCCACCAGTTCGAGCTAGGATTTCCTACCCCACAGTGGATAGCCGTGCAGTTTGTGCACTGCACAAAAGCACCACATCTAAAGGAATCATTAGCAACCTAGATTTCTATATTTATAAAGACTGTTTTGAACAAATAGAAGGAGTATCTTTCTCTAATTCGCACGAAGGTGCTATAGGATCTATCGATGTCCCCAGCCAGTTCTGCTGTCTGTTCCCACCGCATTTGGTACCGTCTAGTCCCTGCACGAGCCAGCCCTCTTTTCCTGATGCCCGCTGCCTGTCCGCAATCCCCCTTCCCCACGGCAATCCCCCAGTCCCACCGTGCTCGGAGAGGAGAGGCACTATTTCCACCTCATTCTCCACTGTTTGTCCAGGGCCTGCAAACTAGGGGCACTTTCAATAGTTGCTTCATCAGTGTAAATAGCCATTGACGGAATGGAATGTGAAATATGGAAGTCTCAAGGATCAGCAGGACCAGGAGGAAGGAAAACAAGGAAAACAGAAAAGTGGCGAAACCTCTCTGGCCTGCAGGGGGAGATGCTGAGCACTTCGAGGCACTCCTCCCGGTGGGCAGCGGGTCCATTCCCTTTTCTCTTTTTGGAGAGGTACTTTCTAATAATATTAACATCTACCATTTATGGACCTAACGCTAAGCACATGCATCATATCATCTACTCTCCGCAGCAGCCCTTTGAGACGGGTGCTATTATTGTCTCCATTTTGCAGATCGGAGATGGAGCAGAGAGAGGTTAATGGGCAGAGCTGGGACTGGTACTTTGGTAAGTGTCGGATGGTCAAGCCCGGAAGCTTAATACTATCCTTTGCTGCTTTGCCAAAAATTCTATCACCCCGTGAAATCATCTACACTTATTTTTAGTTTGGAAAATATGGTCGCTGCTCTACAGCCCAATGTGAAGTTAAGAACAGCTCCGTCTCTCCTACCTTTGGGCTCTGGTCCAGGCCCCCACAAAGTCGACTCACTGAGTCTACTGCTGACAGGCAAAAGAAATACACGGCAGGCGGGGGCCCAAGAGTGAGGCCTGAGGGGGAAGACAGGCTGAGCAGGCAGAAACCATACTCAGGCACAGACGCCGCATCGCAGCCTCCTGACTGCAAGGTCAAAGCCTGCAGGAGCAGCATTTCGCTCACTCCTAAATTCTCAGTGCATGGCACACACGAGGCACCTGGTATTTGCTGGGTGAGTGAGTGAGTGAGTGAATAAAGGAAAGAATGAATGAATGAATACATGTTAGATTTTCCCATTAGCCAAAAGAGGACAGGGAAATGGATTTCCCATGCCCCAAGGCTGAAGATGTTCTGGGACACACATCTAATTCTGATTCAAAGACAGGAGGCAGGAAGCAGGAGGTGAGGAGAAGGGAGAGGATGAGGAGAACACTGAACCAACAAATCAAGACCTCTGGCCCCTGGTACCTGGGCATGGGGTACATGGGAGGAGTCTAGGGGTGGAAAAGGGTCCGTCCTAGGATGGGATCTCTAAAATCTGAGCAAGAACAGCTGGCAAGAGGAAGGAACCCCTCCTAGGCAATCAACTGGAGCAAGTAGGCCAGGTTGCACCCAGCGGAGGGTCTGAGCCATCAGGAGCCTTGGCCACTAGCCAGAAGCATGCTCGAAGCAGATCTGGAAAGGTTGCCTGGTTTACCAGCAAATTCTACTTGCCTGACCTCTGAGACCCTGGAGGGAGATGGATGGGGGCATGCAGCAGAGGCCGGGCACTGAGAGAGCTTCGCCTGCAACCCTGGACCCTGGCACCCAGCACTCACCTGGTCTGGGTGGGCATGGGGCACACAAGGTCACCCCCCAGAAGGCTCCCACACTGCCACAGCAGTCCTCTTGGGCAGTCAGCTCTAGCAGGGGGTTGGCACACTGGAAAAAAGGCCATGGACACCTGTCACCACTTCTTACCTCCCCTGCTGTGTACAGAGATGTCCCAGGAAAGGCTGAAACAAGAGGTCTCCTCCCCCCTCCCCACAGCTGGCCAGAGGGTACCCCCACCTAAGGGACAGTAGGAGAGAGTCAGCTGATGTCCAGGAAGGAAGCAAAGAAACCTGCAGTCCACTCTGCCAAGCCCGAAACTTAAGGGGTGGGGACACATCCCAGGCAAGACAAGATCTTCTCTGCACAATGCCCCATGCCATGTCCTGGCCCACAGAGTCCCAAAGGATGGGCTTTCTTCTGTCAAATTTCAGGGTCACCCACAGTGCCAACCTTCCCCGTGGACAGGGTCCAGGCTTAGGGACACCACAAGCTGAGAGGTCAGGGGAGGTCTGGGGACTCAGAGTCCCTATCCCTTGGCTACCCCCCACCTCCTCCAGTTCCTTAACCTCACGAGGGATTTCTGGAAACACCAAACTACGAGCCTAAGAAAAACCATCTTGGGTCTGGCTTAGCTGCTGTTCTTAGGTTCCTGGACTCATAACAGCTCACCTGATTTTCCATCACTAACTATGATACCTCCAGAGGGAGATGGAGTGTCCCTCATCGTGCACCCTCAAGACTTTGGAATTTAACCTGCATTTGCAAATTCCACATCTCTGTGATCCCAGTCTCAGCTGAATACCAAATTCTTTCTCGCCAGATCTAATAGCCCCGCTGTCCATGTACCAGGGGGTCCTAGACTTACGTCTAGGAGAGCCTAGCATTTCCTGGGACCCAGGGACACTGGTGCCCCTCTAAAGGGAGACTCTCTTAGGTCCTCTTCTGCATGCCTGGCACTGACAGGTATCTAGGGGGTCCCAGGTAGGAGGCCCAGCCTCCCTGCACTCAGGCAATTTTATGACCTGAGTTTTCCCATCTGAGGAGTGGGAGACTCTACAGACACTCACATTCCATAAGAACAAAGAGGAGAGAGAGAAGAAGGGGCAGAGCGGGGGGCAATCACTGTTCTGGAAGCCTTCGGGGCTGAGGCTGGAGCTTCATTCTCACCTGGCCATTCACAGAGCTCAGGTAACACCGTCCCAGCAGTCCCCGAGGCCTGGGAGCTGCTGGGGGCAGTGGCCGAGGGGCCTCTCCAGGTCGAGAAGGGATGCTGTTGCTGTCCCAGTAGCTGTGGCCAGGGCTGGCGGGGAGCTGGGGCAAGGGTCTGGTCTCCACACTGTTCTCCTCCGCCGCCTCCTCAGCCTCGCCCCGCACCCGTGCCACCTGGTGGACCTGCACGGAAGCCTCGGGCGGGTGGTGAATGTGCACCTTCACCAAGGAGGGGTTCACAGAGACTGGACACAGGGGCTGGGGTCAGAGTTGGTGAAACGGAGCCCCACCCCAGCACAATTCCCCAGTGAGGACAGGATGAAGTGCAGACTCCTTCACTCCCTGCCTACCAGTGAAGGATCTTCATTATCAACTTCTAAACGACCTTCCTGATTTTGCCTTCCCCACCATCCTGCACAGCCCCTGAGCTCCAGCCCAACTAACCTGCACGGTCCTGCCTCCATGCCTTGGCTCACGCCAGGCCCTTTGCAGAGGAGCTCCTCCCATTCCCTCCTGCTTAACCAAAGGCTGCCACTGTTTAAGGCCTGCCCAAGGTCCACCTCTTCCACACAGCCTTCCCTCAACAGCCTGGGCTCACGGGGCTCTCCACCCCCTGACTGCCTATATTTTTTGTACATTTTATTTGGCACCTAACAATGAAAAGCAGGGGATATGAAATGTTTTACTGATGCTATTCTCTTTCCCGTCCACCCACCCTCTGTTGTCCAGGTCCGTGGGCTTCTTGCAGGCAGGAAAACCCTGTACTTCTACTCTTTTGTCTCAGGCATAGCACCCGCTAGGGGGTGAGGGCAAAAATATCGATGAATTCGGATGGAAGGACAATGATGTTTAGGGAATAAAATTGAGCCCTGAGGGCAGAGGAGAGGGAGGGAGGGAGGTTTGACTTGAAGAAAGGCCTAGAGACAGCTTCTGTCCCCTCCACCAGATGCCGGGAACCCCTCCACCCCATATCCAGTAACCCCGTGTGCCCTTTGCCCCGCATCCCCAGCCCCGCACTCACCCAGCTGGTTGGAGAGAGGCAGAGTGAAGGTGGACTGCCTCAAGGGGACTTCCACTGAGGCCCTGTGGTGGGAGTCCCTCTCCGGAGACTCCCTTTCCAGCTTTGGGGCGGGCAGATGACAGAACTTCCCGGTGGAGTTGGCGGGGCACCAGCACTCGTCCCTGCCGATGCAGCGGCCTCCATTCAAGCAAGGGATCTGGCAGAAATCTACAACATAGACCTCAAGGTGACTGGCCGTTAAAGAATACAGCATCACCCACCATGTCACCGGTAGGTGACAACAGAGAAGCAGGGGGAGCAGTACTCCAAATCTGCATGGCTCGAGGAGCCCAGCATCCCCTGAAATGCAGGGACTTTCCAGGAGGCTCAAGGGTGAAGAAGGGTAGGTAATAACCAGCCCTTGCTTTTCTAAAGAGCACTTCATGCCTTTCCTGCATCCCTCGATTGCTCGGGAGACACGGCCAGCCAGAAACCCTCTTCTGACAGGGGAAGGGACTCACAGATGCGGAAGCCAGACTTGGGGTCATGCCCGTGACCGCCCTGGCTGTACAGGGTGGTAGTGTCGCCACGCTCACAGCTGTTGGCACAGTGCCCATGGGCACAGGTCTGCTTGCAGATGGTAGGAGTGAAGACGATCTTGATCTTCTTGATTTTCTCCGTGAGGTTCAGCCCTGTAGAGAGAGGGCTTGGGTCCAGGGGGCAGGGCTGAGAGGCACAGCTGTGACCTCCAGAAGATGGTTAGAGAGGCCCAAGGGACCAGGGGAGAATCCATCCCAAGGGCATTTGCTAAGTACTCGCTGAATGCACGGTCCCACAGTGGGGGCAGGGTGACACCTTTGAGGCGCTCACAGCCCAGCACTTATTGAGGGACGTCAGTGTGCAGCCAACAAAGCTCACGTTTTATGCACATTAACTCTCAACCCTCTGGAATGAGTATTATTTTAGGTTGAACCATTAGAAGTTGCTATTTTTGTAGGTTAGCATGGTTGACTGCTGGCAATGTTCCTATATCCAACCTAGTATTTCAATTTTACAGGTAAGGACACAGGCTCAGAGAAGGTTGGGTTGCAAGTGGTACAGCTGGGCTTTGAAACAAAAGGCAGAGAAAAGAATGTAGCTCAGACCTGCTGGAGCAAAGAGTTTTCTAAGAGAAGTGGAGGAAGATAAAGCCTGAAAGAATGATTAGAGTCAGGTTGGGCGGGGCAGGGGGGGTGGGGGTGGGCTCAATGCCAGAACGAGGACCAGGCACTTTGGCTGGTAGTGAGAAGTCACTGAAAAATTCTAGTAAGAGATCCAAGAGGAAGCATGGAGGGATGAATGCCCTCCCAGCTGGGTGTGCAGGTGGATGGGGAGGCAGGATGACCAGTGTGGAGGTCACTGCAGCGGTATAAACTGAGGTCACTTCACTTAAAAGGATGGTGGCAGTGGAAATTCAAAGGAGGGGTGTTCATCTGGTGTGGGGAGCCCAGGGACGGAAGCCGGAAAGCAGAGGGGTTGGGGAGGGAAGTGTGGAAAGTCTACGAGGACCACATGTTCGAGAAGCTTGACTGTGACGGCAGGAGAGAGAGAGAATGGAGAGCTGTAAGCAAGTGTACATGCGCCAGGAAAGGGCTGAGACAGACGGTTTGAAGGGGGAGGACCGAAGGGGCGAGGGGAGGACAAGTGATGGCCTAGTGTTCCAGAGGAGTCAAGAAAGGTAGCGTGTGTCTTAGACAAGAAGAGAGACGCCTCCTTTTCAAGATGACAAGAAAGAAGTTCGTTAACAATAAAAAGAAATGAAGTACTGACACACGCTACGACGCGGATGAACCTCGAACACATTATACCAAGTGAAAGAGCCAGACAGGAAAGGACACATAGTGTATGATCCCTTTCTATGAAATGTCTGGAATATGCAAATCTACAGAGACGGGCAGTAGATCAGTGAGACCAGGGGCCGGGGCCGGGGGGAGTGGGGAGTGACTGCTTAATGGCTGTGGGATTTCTTTCTGGAGCGATGACAACGTTCTGCAGGTGCACAATAGTGGCAGTTGCCTAGACAGTGAATGTACTGAGAACCTCTGATGTGTACACTTTAAAATGTCATTTTATGTTATGAGAATTTCATCTCAATTTTAAAAATGGGAAAAATAAAGAAAAGAAGTCAGCTGGGCACGGGTTGAGGTGAGGGAGCAGTGTGAGTCCTGGGCAGGCAGACGGGCAGGAAGGTGAGGAGCTTTTGGCAGTGGCAGTCTCGTCCAAAGCTGATGGGATGGGACCTGGGAAAGTGGGAGCAGCTCAGAGTACCTGCTCAGAGGAATGAGACAGAGTGTCCAGGCACACATGGAAAGATTGTCAGCAACAATCAGGAATGCAGAGGCGTGAATTCACAGGGATGCTGGGTTCTCTCTTCCAGAGGCAGAGGCCTAGCCATAGGTGCTAAGGAAGCAGCTGGTTGGGTTGGTCCAGGAAGGGTGGGTTTTGCAGAAAGGGTGAAGTGGAAGGACCAGGGCCAGGGAGGTGAGGTTCATAGCTGGATATGAGGGGAGCAAAGGCAGGATGGGTGACAGACGGGGCAGAAATGGAGCAATCGAGGTCTAAGGGTCTCAAAGTCCTGATCAGCTGGTTTGGGACCCCTGGAAGATGGCACAAAGCAGGTGCTTGACAGCTGTTTGTTGATTGGCTGAAAGGATGAGGGACAGGTGACAACTCAGCTCCCCAGTGAGAATGGAGGGAAAAAGCAAGACGGCCAGAAGGTCAGAGATTCAGATGCCCTGTTCTTCTAGGATCCCAACACAGGGTGTCCTTACCCCAAGGGGATGACAAGTGGTCCAGATATGCTGCCTGCTGGGCGCCATCCCTCTGCTCAAGGCCTGGGCCCGCGGGCAGGGCATTGGAAGTCAGCTGGCCACTGGCTGAGGTGGCCGGGTAAAGTCGGACGGTCCGGGACGGCCCGACGCGCTGCTGGGAGACGTGGGTCTGGCTGAGTTCACTCAGGGTCCTGTGGAGACAACCATGGCACAGAGGTTTGCATCGGGGAGCAGCATCTCTGTGCCCTCCCTATCCAGGGTGCTCATCCCCTGCCTGCACTGAAGAAGAGTGCTTTCTGTTTGGCTGCCTTCTTGCCAACTCTGGGAAAGTGGAGGCATCCTGAGGCAGGAGACTGAGCTAAGGCCAGGCAGCTACTCCAGTAGGAGTGACTACCCCTACGTGGAATCATCAGGCTTTGGCTGGGTATTCTGGGCAAGTTGCTCAGCCTCTTTGGGCCTCAGGACCTTTGACTGCAAAATGAGGATGTTAGATTGGTCCCATGTAGCTCTGACATTCTGAGTCTTTGAGACTCTCATGAAGCAACCCGTGCCCTCAAACTGTGGCCTATGCTTAGCCCCTGCCATTTCTTAAAGCAACTCTTCACACAAATTGCCTGTGGAATAGGTGCCCAACAAATCCCCATTCACAGACTGACTTGGGCCGAAGCCTAGAATATCCCGTTCATTAATGTTATTATAAAAATAATAAAAACAACAATATTCAAGAAGAAAAAAATGAATCCATCATCCCCCACCACAGCAGAGCAAATACTTCTGCATACTTCCTTTCAACCTTTGCTCCGGTATACGTTCTTAGATATTGTCATCATCCGTAGATACAATTCAGAATTCTGATTTTTCGCTTAGCATTAGATTATACTTTACACGATTCCATAATTTTTATATTTATCATATTAATTGCTATATAATAGTCTACATGAAGAAAAATCATGATTTATTCAGACATTCTGTTACAAATTTAAATTGTTTTTCATTTTTGACTGGATATTTCACTCACGTGGCTTTTTTCTTGTGTTAAAATACTCCTTTAGTAGTGGAGGTTTCATTATACCATTCTATTTTATTCTGTATATTTCAAAAAAAAATTCGAATAATAAACATTTTGAAAGGATTATTATTTTAGGATTAATTCGGTGGACTAGAATAACAATATCAAAGGTTACAAACATTTATGGCTGTAAGTACACACTGGTGTGTCGCTTTCCAAAAGAGTTGCATCGAAATGTATAAATGTGCTACTTAGAGTACAATCTCACCAGCATAGCATATTATTAATATTCTTACACTTTGTTAATTGAATAAGCATAAAATAATACTTCAGTGTTGCATTTATCTCCCTTTTTCATTACTTCTGAGGTTGAAAGTTTTTTCATACATCTATTTAGCACTTGCAAAGTTATTCTACTCACATCCTTTGATATCTTAACTACTTGAGTTATTTGTCTCATAAATTCGAGTGAGTTCTTCACGTGTTCATTATTAGGTAGGTCATTCTATAAGGTAGCCTCCGTTGTAAATGCTGTCACTGTCACAGTGTATATGAACCACTGTATTCATGACAGTGTCTGGACTGTGGTGGGTATGCATACACCATAGACACTAAAGCGGAGAGAGTAATCACTTGCTCGATGGTATACAACAGGTAAATCAGGGCCTGGAATTCCAAACCGGGACAGCCTGATTCCTGTGCTTCCCAAGAACCCAGCTCAGACCATGATGGATGTTCAGCCTAGAAGCATCCACTCAGGCCTGGAGTGAGATAAGGTCCTGGGATTCTCTCCCTCCGCCATCCCTACTCCAGTTCCTTTCCTGACAGAGTCCAAACCAGGAGAGATGAGAGCCTAGCGCCCTGTGCTCCTCCCCAGCCCCACTGGCCAGGATTTGGCTCCCGCGAGCTTCGGTGCTCCTCTTCCCCACAGTGCCACCAGCAGCAAATACTCATCCCAGTAGGTCTCAACCATGCCTCACCCTGCTCCCCAAGCTTCAGGGCTAAAGTGGGAAAGAGATCCTGTTAGCCACCCTAGAAGCTCTGGGAGTGGTACTGCAGAATTGGGAGCCTAAACGTCAGGTAACTGCTCCTTGTTCCCAGGAGAAGGTCAGCACAACCGGCAGCCCCAGAAAACACAGTCCTTTTGACAGCTTCCAAGAGAGTGCTTGAAAATGAGGCGGGCAAGCTGGTGGGTCAGTGGGAGTCTCCTCCTGGTGTTGCAAGGCTGATGCCATGGATCAGCTTAGTGTCAACACCACAAAGTACCCTAGAGAGGTGAAGGGAGTAACTTATGTTCTGCCCAGACCACCTGGCACTTTTTTGAACTTGACCCTCACAAAGAGTTCTCCAATCTGGTCAAGATGGAAATTCAGAGGGTTCTTTCTTGGTGGTTTGTTGTCATTGTTGTTATTGCTGTCATCACCTTTTTCTCTAACTAGAACCCCATGCTATTGGCCCCAAGATTCCTGAGTTCAAATCCCTTAAGAGCGAGCCAGTGTTTAACTTGACAGAGAATGAAACAGAGGAACTTATGTATTCCCTAGCTATAGATAGGACCTAGCTGTTCAGAGAAGAGAGGACAAGATTTGGGCCAGGCCGATGTCAGTTCTGCCTCTTACTAGGAGTTTGGGTTGAGCAAGACACTTAGTTCCCCTGAGCCTCAGATTCCTCATCAGCAAAAGCGGAATAGGGACACCTACCTCAATGGGTTATTATGAGGACTAAAAGGGCAAGGGATACCATATGATTATTTTGCAAATATAAGTAAACGGTTACAAGTTGAAAACTATGCCAGACTTTTAAAATCACATGAACAAAGAAAAAAAAAGTGCTAAATACAGTTCAGACAATTTCTCTCCCCAAGCCACAAAAACATCCTTCTTCTAAAGGGAATAAAAGACTCCAAAAAACAAACTTTTATGCTTTCCGAGCATCCTTATTGTAAAGAGCCAAGTGTCTAATCTGGTGTCAACACATTTTTAACAACCGGAACCTCTGAGCCCAATCTATTGTCATCAACTGCTGTGATGGGGATTTGGGGTTAAATGACAGAGATCAAAAAGTCATGGCTTCTGAGAGACAATAGAGCAAGGGAGGAAGCCCCTCATTCTTTGACAGGTTCTACCTCTTATACTGAAAGCACGCCTATAAGGAAACTGTCACCTCCCTGCATAAACCCCAGCCTGTCCTTGGAGATGGGCAAGAAGAGTCTCTATGTCCTGAGGGCTGTGGGTCCCCTGGGGGACTTCAGATGGTTCTTCTGCCATCACCCCTTAGAAGACAGCTAGGACTGGGTGGAGATTGGGAGCTGTGGGGCTCATAAGCCCAGGCATATGGCCTTGTGTTATCTTTGAGCTCATTTCTCTTAAGTGAATCACAAGTCTTTAGCAAAGTTCTAGTTGCATACCTCATCCTAGTCTCGGTTAGGTTGTGGAAACTCGAGAGAAAAGTCTGGCACCATGTTTGGCTCAGTGGTCCCAAGAAGCCATGACCCCTCTTAAGGACAGGAGAGTGGTGCCAACAAAGGCAAGCAAGAACCTCACTGTGAAGGAGACTTTTTTGGACCACAGCCCCTGGGAGAGGCTCTGTCCACTTTCAGCCCTGCAAGAGCTGCTTCAATGTCATCAAGTGAGAGCAGCTCTCAGACTCACCTGGCACAAGAATAGGACTTTCCTTCACTCTAGGATCGCTCCAGGAAAGTCCTGGCAAAGCTGCCACAATGGACCAGAACGGCCATCTCTAGACTTCAAGATTTCATGAATCAATAAAATTTTGAAATAATTTAGGGGACCAACATAAAGTTGCCAACTTGTTATTTAGGTGAGACACACACACATACACTCACACACACACTTCTAGTTATTACCACCATCATTTCATGAAAGAAAAGACATCAGTACCAAAAAGAAACATCTGATTAAGCTTAACTTTATGCAAATCTCACCACATTGACTTTATTTTCTTCTCTTCTTCATGGACCAATGAAAACTCCATCACAGAGCAGCATTGAGCCATGGAGGAGCCACTGGGCCACGCGATCTACCAAGATCTGCACCTACCTGAGGACTCACAGGCTCTTTCAACCCAGTTTGGAAGAAAAACTTTTCATCCCAGCTGGCTTTTCATCTTCAGGCCCAAGGGAAAACTGCCTGGACAGTATATCTCATAATGATGCCACTCTGCTAAATAGAATGTGCCCAAACCCTGCCCAACACAGCGAGGTTTTCAAACAGTGATGAGAAGACGAAAGGGTCAGAGGTTCCATGCCCTCTACCCCACCCACGTTCACCCCAGCCTGGCGGCTCCACTCTATCTCATTTATAAATGGGTTTCCATATACTGTTTCATTTGATAAGTATTCTGCTGCCAAAAGAACATTTAAAAACATCACTATATCCCAGACAAGAAAAAGCTAAAGAAGTTCATCACCACCAAATCGATATTACGAAAAAAGGTTACGAAGAAGAAGGAAAAAAATAAAAATATATGAATAATAAAATGGTAATAACTACACAATTATCAACCATTATTTTAAATGTAAATGGATTAAATACTTCAATCAAAAGACTTAGGGTGGCTGAATGGATAAGAAAACAAGACTCCTACATATGCTGTCTCCAAGAGACTCACTTAAGATTGAAAGACACACGGAGACTAAAAGTAAAGAGATGGAAAAAGATATGAAAATAGAAACAAACAAAAAGTCTGGGGTAGCAATATGTGTACCAGGCAAAACAGACTTTAAAACAAAGATCATAACAAGAGACAAAGAAGAACCCCATAATTCCACTTCTGGGTATTAATCCGAAGGAACCCAAACACGAATTCAAAAGACATGTGAATCCATATATTCATTGCAGCATTATTTACAATAGCCAAGATATGGATGCAACCTAAGTGTTCATCAATAGATGAATGGATAAAGAAATGGTACATTTATGCAATGGAATATTACTCAGCCATAAAAAGGAATAAAATCTTGCCATTTGCAACAACATGGATGGACCTAGAGGGCATTATGCTAAGTGAAATAAGTCAGAGAAAGACAAATATCATATTATTTCATTTATATGTAGAATTAAGAAAAACGAAATAAATGAATAAACAAACAGAAACAAACTCATAGATACAGAGAACATTTTGATGGTCGCTAGATAGGAGGGCTTGGGGGATGGGCAAAAA